GATCCCTTTCCACCCAAACCATCCTGGGATTCTGGAACCTCCCAGTTGTTCCAAGCCCTGCCCAACCTGTCCATGGAACAGCCAAAGGAAGGGTGATCCACACTTTTGGAATGCTGGCCGTGAGCCAGGATCCAGAACCTAGAAAGGGGAATTGTGCTCTGCTGCACCTGGTAAGGAAAATCCTACTCTGCTGCTCCTGGAAAGGGAATCCTGCTGCTCCTGGGATCCCCAGGAGTCACATCCAGCTCCAGCCCTTCCCGGCTGTTCCCACCAGATGTCAGCAGAGCCCCGTGGTTGAGCAGGGTGGGGGACAGCTGCCAGAGGATGGAGATTTTTGGATTAACAGGGTGGGAGAGGCCCCAAAAAAATTGGAACTTCTATTTTCCCCTTGGGATTCAGCTGGAGAAGGAGGTGAGGAACAGAGGAGGGAATTCCAGGGGGATTTATCTGTGCTGGATATTGATTAAAGCAAGGGAGGGAATTCCAGGGGGATTTATCTGTGCTGGATATTCATGGAAACAAGGGAGGGAATTCCAGGGGGATTTATCTGTGCTGGATATTGATGGAAACAAAGGAGGGAATTCCAGGGGGTTTATCTGTGCTGGGTATTCATAGAAATAGGGAGGGAATTCCAGGGAGGCACCTATCTTTACTGGATATTTTTTTCCCAATTGATTTAATCAGACAGTGAATTCAATTAGCACCAATCTGCTGCTAAAACTTGATAAAAATCCACTTAAATTAAATCTCATCATCTTAAATCCAATTATCTTTCTTGGTATGCAAATCCAGACCTCCCCGGGCACATCTCAGGCAGAAGGTTTAAGCCTTTTTATCCCAATTTTCTGCCCAATGCATTTGTAGATTTTTCCAGCAGTTTTTCCATCTGGGATCTCAACACTGCCGAGGCCACCACTGACCCATGTCCCTAAAACAGGACTGTCCCCAGGGGCCACACAAAGTGGACACACTGACCCAGTGCTCAGGTGGACACACTGACATGTCTGTGACCAGTGGGACACACAGACCACACAAATCTAGGTGGACACACTGACCAGTCTGTGCCAAGGTGGACACACAGACCTGTCCAAGCCCAGGTGGACACACAGACCACACAAATCCAGGTGGACACACTGACCTGTCTGAGACCAGGCAGACACACTGACCACACAAGTCCATGGGGACAC